TCCAAGCCTGGCGCGCGAAGTACCGAGCACAAGAACAGCGCGCGAAGTACAGGTTTCTGGAAAATCACAACTTTGAAGTGCAAGTCAAGTGCGCGAAGTACAAAATTCCAGCTCCAGCTCGAAAGTCGCAACTTTGTAGTACCAGTCTAATGCGCAAAGTACAGGCTTCCAGGTCCAGATGGTAAATCGCGACTTTGTAGTACAAGTCTAGCACGCGAAGCACAGGTACGCGAAGTCCAGCTCTAGCGGGAAAATCACAACCTTGTAGTACAAGTCTAGCGCACGAAGTACAGGTTTCCAGCTCTAGCTGGAAACTCGCAACTTTGACAAGTCTAGTACGCGAAGTACCGGTTTCCCGCTCCAGCTAAAAAACCGCGACTTTGTTGTACAAGTCTAGTACGCGAAGAACAGGTTTCTATCTCTAGCTAGAAAACCGCGACTTTGTAGTGCAAGTCTAGTACGCGAAGTACAGGTTTCTAGCTCTAGCTGGAAAAGCGCGACTTTCTAGTATGCGAAGTACAGGTTTCTAGCTACTCTAGCTGGAAAATCGTGACTTTCTAGTACAAGTCTAGTACGCGAAGTACAGGTTACCAGCTCCAGCTGGTAAATTTCGACTCTGTAGTGCAAGTCTAGTACGCGGAGTACAGGTTTCCAGCATCGCAACTTGTGTAGTCCAAGTCTGGCGCGCGAAGTACCGGTTTCCAGCTCTAGATGGAAAAGTGCAACTTTGTAGCACAAGCGCGCGATCGCAACTTTGAAGTGCAAGTCTAGCGCGCGAAGTGCAAGTTGCCAGCACTAGCTAGAAAATCACAATCTTGTAGTACAAGAATAGTACGTGAAGTACAAGCTTCCAGCTCTGGCTGGAAGATCGCGACTTTGAAGTGCAAGTATAGTACGCGAAGTACAGGTTTTGAGCTCCAGCTCGAAAATCGCAACTTTGTAGTACAAGTTCAGTACGCAAAGTACAGGTTTTCAGCTGTAGCTGGACAATCGCAGCTGTGTAGCGCAAGTCTAGTGCGCGAAGTACAGTTTTCCAGCTCCAGCTGGAAAGTCGCAACTTTGTAGTACAAGTCTAGCGCGCGAAGTGCAGGTGCCCAGCTCCAGATTGAAAATCGTAACTGTGTAGCAACAAGCGGAGCACGCAGTGCAGTTTTACAAGCTGAAAAACATAGTTTGCACAGTTGGCTTGATTGCGAGCCCCATTGGTTTATACCGAAAAATGTTCTCTCTACTTATTTTTTTGGGTTTGCGCAAAGTGATGTGCATTCGGGTCCGTGGGCTCTGTCTTGTTTCATGACAGCGCTGCCGTCAGGTCCAAATTAGCTGAATGCTCATTTCGGCCCACAACAACTACCATCCGGCATCACATGTGTGTGATGCAAATCTGATGCAACACATGACAGCTTTTATTGGACTGGCCACTTTGGCCTTGCATGGGGCCCGAACATAGCATTGAAATCAATTTTCTCACACACCTAAGGGGCAGCCGTGAACATCTGCACCCAACAGGTGTCAAATGCACCCTGTTCATGCGTGAAACCATTTAATGACCCAGGCCCCAAACATCGTTCTGAGCAGTTTCTAGATTGGCTCACTGATTGAAAGCAACCGCACTTTCTGCGCTAAACAATTTCAGGAACCGAACACTTCTGCTGCATTTGCGCAGCGCAAGCCGAGCATGCCTCCTGCGAGACTTTTGAATGCCCTATTGTCACAGTAAAACAAGCATCAGCATGACTTCAAAGTCCCCCTCTATCTGAAAGTGGACATGGCGATTTGAGAGGATCCTCCTGGCACCGCTCTTTGTTCATTGAGGTCATCCAGCTGCATGGTGTCTGGGCACTCCGACTGGTTTCGGTATACAGGCACGCCATAACGCTCATCGCCTGTGGGGAAGTACTCGCCCACGGCCTCAGCATCGCCAGCCTCTTTGACCCAGTAGTGGTGCATCACCTCAGCGCGTCTGCCCTGTGGGTGGTTCATCCTTCATTGGAGAACAGTAGGCTTTGCGCGGTACATGAGTCATGGCTAGGATTACTAGCAATGGGTATCGTCCGGGGTATTGTGCGGGCTCGCTCGGGGTATCGTTGGGCCTTTTTTCCGGTTCCCAGCAACGGACGTACATGCCATCTTTAGGAGGTTACAAAGCAGCGTCACGACTCATGCCAAACTCGTGCTGATATTGTCAGCTTGCTGCTGACAATTGGTTGACATTTGCTCGAGACAGTGTCGGCACAACTTGGCTGCTCTCAAGTTTCAGCCTGTTGCGAGCCAGGCTTGAGCAGTTTGATGTTCGTGTGACGTGAGATCTTTGGATTCAGGATCTTAGGGGTGCAGTGCACAGCCAAGCCTAAGCTGCTTCCTCCATCACTGGCTTGCTATAAACGAAATGCGAACCCTGGAGCCAGCAACATCAGTCTTGGGAAACGTGTGGCACGCTGAAAGGGCCACAAGCCATAGCGTGTGTGCCTCACAGGTTGACTCCAACTAGCAATTCTCGTTCTCAACATGTGGATGGCAAAACTGTGCCTTTACGCCTTTGCATGCCCTCAGCTCCTGGCTGTGTCGGCTGGCCGGCGCTGTTCGTAGGCTTCCACGGCCATTTTGATCTTCAACTCCTGAAGCCTGCCGTCCGCACTTTGCTGCGAGCTGGCTGTCACTTGATAGCTCTCCCAGCAAACTGGCCTTCTCTCACTTGAGTATGCACGAATACGTCATCTTCAGAAATGAAACGAGGAACTTGCTGCGAGAAGTTCGGGCAAACCCTTGCCATTCAACATATTTTGGTGGAGATCCGGAAAAAAAAGAAAAACTGCCTCCTTTGAACATACAGCCGTTCTTTATGGCATTCCACACCATCTGAGCATAAGTGCCTCCGATGAACCATGCAAATCTTGAAGGTTGCTGAAATATAGCTCCGAACACAGTCAGCCTGTCGACTTGCTGCCGCCCACTTTCCTGGCAAAGAGCAAACGTAGCACAAACCACTGCATACTGGCGGCAATTAAACCAGACTTGACACGTTCTATCAAATTTTCTGCGACCACCCTTGTGGCACACCAAGTGTTCTGGCTTTGGGCCTGAACTTCACGTTACGAACAAGACACTGCCCGTGTCTGAGGTTTAAATTTGATGTTGCTGGTGAACGGTGTATCTGCTTCATTCCTGGTTTGAATGTGCGGAATTCAACACTCGACTGGCAGCGATATTGGACGACAAGAAAGACTGTACACGCTTAGATCTGGCATTTATTGGATCTGCACCGAGCAGAATGGATGCCGTTGCTTCCCAGTCTTGTCAGTTAGGGTACATGGCAAGGAGTTATGCAATACATTCATTTCTTTGCGTGCCACCCACATTGTGACAGTACCTGTGCTGATGCAATACTGCAAGTGCAGCAGCCCACTGCCTTTGCATACAAGTCGTCCATGGTGATGACGGGCTCCTTGGTCATCTCCCGCTGGTATCTCTCAATCTCATCCTGTGAGGCAAAGGCAGCTCTGCAAGATTTTTTGGGGGATACACGGATCACGACCGCATGCCAACAATCAGGCTTCAACAGCGTAACCGACATGCAGCACGGCTCATGCTCATGTCCTCTTCCTCGGCTGCCTGCAAAAGCAATTTCAAGCTTGCGCCAGCATCGCAAGTCAACTTGTGGCTGGAAGCAGCTTGTGGGATGTGGTTTGAGCTTCTGGCAGCAAAATGAAGTCAACACGTTTTTGAGAGCGCGAAGCTGGCCATCAGCGGAACATGCAACTTCAACAAGCAGTTCAACACATCCAAGTGCTGATCTATTGTCATGCTTCCATATGCCTCTTGCTCTGCGATCCGCTTCCATTTGGAATAGTCCAAAGAATAGCCTGAGCATGTATCTACTCGGCACTATCGCTGATCAATTGCACTGACAAGCGCTCATCATTCTGAACGTGTCAGGCACCTAGAGGTCAAGCACGTTATGAAGTTAACGCACTGCACATCCAGGGCAGCGACTCGGCATTACCTTAGCACGGAGTTGGTGAATAGTTCACCATCCTACAATGACTCGCGCTTTCCTCCCGGCTTGCTGCAAATTGCAGTTTTATGTCTTGATCCTGTCGGCATCGTTTTCACAGTTGCCCGTCTCAAGTTTCTTGTGCTTCATGCCTCAACCAAAAACCAGGTCGAATTCTGTCCAATAGAAACACCTTCAGTTCCGCTGAGCATTGCAATTGCAAGCCGTAAAACGTGCTTTGCAGGAGTCAGTGAAGGGACCCAGAAATCGAAGCTGAGCTGCGGGCTGCAATGCTGCTCAAGACATCTCAACACATCTCAGAACACCTGGACCGCTGTGGTGGGTGAGGCTTCGTATCTTGCCAGTGTCGGAGGATTGGGTGGGTTGCGATGTGAAAAGGAGGTCCGGATGCAAAGTTGCCAGCTATGCTCCGGCAACGTAGGTATATAATACATCATGGTAGATCGATTGACTGCCGTGTCTTTTGCATGTGCTTGCATGTCTATGGTGGCCCGGCCGGTCGTGTCCGGGGCTTGAGCACGTGAATTCGCGCCAGTCACATCACTGGTACAATGAACCCGACCTCAAGAAATTCGGAAGCGCTGGAGATGCTCGAGCTTTTCCGCGCCTCGCTTGGAAATCGCCCTTCGTGCTGCAAAGGGCGCGAGCTTGAAATCAAAGTGTATAAGTGGCCGAAAATCCATCTCTGTGCCAGGATGCAGTAGGCAACTTCAAGCTGGTCTGGTTGCGTTTCAAACATTGACATTTCATGATGTGATAGACTTGTTGCCAAATGGCCCCTGCTTCAAAGTAAAAACAAGGCTGGGTTGCTGAAGAGACTCAGCGTGAAAAGGCCCTGCTGCAGTGCCTGGTATTGGATTCGGCTGGCGCATTAGGCTGTCCTCGCCCCGGCCAGAGTTCAGCCAGGGTTTGGCTTGTCCCTGCATGTGATTCGGGATACTGCCACCCCAACATGGAACACCCATGACAAGTGATTCAACCATCTACACACACACACACGTCAGTAACCAATGCTCCGCGGCCTTGTGCCGACTCAAATGGTTTCTGCTTCAAATTCAGCAGACACGTCCTCGGACATGACAAGGCATCAGGCATCAAGCATCGTCGGGTAGCGCAGGAAAGCAAGTGATTTATTGTAGTGTTTGTTCCGGTTGCGTGAGGCCTTGCCACCTTTTACTTGAGCTGCAACACCCATGGACTTTTGGTTCTACTCAGATGGTTATCAATGTTTATACAGGCCTACTGCAAACCATGCCAAAGCCAGGTAGTAGACCCGCCTACTAAACTGGCCAATGGTGGTGTTGGGCGCTGAGGCCACGCCCACGCCCACCACTCCCACAAAAACTCCTAGATCAAACTGCCTACGTGCCGACGCGCCAAAGAGCGTCAATTAGGTCGGCGCAAAGCTGTGACTTGTCAGTACAAGCGTGGTACAGGAAGTGTAGTTTTTGGCAGCTCCAGCTCAACAATCGCGACTTGTCAGTACGCATTAGTACGCAAAGTGCGCTCCATGAAAAGTTGCAGGTGTAGTGCGTACACTTTGCCAGTTCCAGCTCGAGCATCACAACTTGTCAGTCAAGTGGAGTAGAAATACACCTCGGTAGTTCCAGTCAAAAATCGCAACCTTTTAGTATACTGGGAGCTTTGCCAGATTCAGCTGAAGCGGAAAGGGCCTACAAATCAAGGCCCAGCCCTAAAGGCCCGCCCGGTTGGATGTTGCATACTTGTTGGACATGCAGGACTTCGCACGCCGTCAGACCGTCCCCTAAATCAAAAAACACATGTCACGTGAAAAGTCAACCATCAAATGGCCACCTACGCGACTGCCTACGCGAGGCTTAATATGCTTCATAACGCGAGCCTCCGCTTGAACTCCTACGCACGCCTGCGCCTGCGCAACATGTACATGATTGAATATAGATGTGGGTCTTCATCACTGGAAAAAAACAAAAAGAACAAAAAACAGCTGCCGCATTGTCATGACGCCTGGCGCCGTCGCACATCTGATGTGCCAGCCGTGACTAAGAACCAGACAGCATGAGACACGCAGCAGGCCTGCACATCCGAATACAAAACAGTCAAACGCACGGCAAAAGAGTCAAGCGCAGCCCCGCAACTCTCACCGAGTTCTCGGATTTTTGCAGTGCCTGGAAGGGGGACAGCATCCACGCGCTGAGAGCCCCCAGAACGTCCTTGGCAAAATATAGTCGGACCTACAGAATGCTGAAATAGCCCAGACGCCATTGTCGGAGCTTCCTTTGTCTGTTGTATAAGAGCAACCCAGAAAACGGAAATGACAAGGTCTGGATTCCAGGCACCCCGCTTTCCGGCTCTGGTCAATGGCACACACTGCTCCTCTCGGCTGACACGCTTCCAGTTTCTCTCTGAAATGCGATCGGGGCGACATGTCTCCAGTCTTGCCCTTGCTTGAGATAACCATGGCAAGCCCTGCCTTTGGCTTTGCGTGCAGCCTCCGACAGCGCAAAGAACTCAGGCGGAACGCTGTCGACACCTGCCAAACCAGATTGCAAAACATGAACAAAGCTCAAGTCGATCAACTCAGAACAAAACAAAAAAAAGCACATTCCGTGCATGTCCCAATGGCGCCGTTACAGCTCGACCAGCCTAACTCCTTGCACAAGTGCTTGCTGAAGTGACAGCAGTTGCCTGAAATGAAAGGGCATGGGTGCCACATCTGCGGCTCCCAGGCTGCAGATTTGGCCCACGGTGAACCCAATGGCTCAAACAAATGCTAATCTGGCCCTGCAGCATAGAAAGTATTCAGTGCCCAGACACCCTGTCCATTCCAAAACGCAACAACGGCAGCTAACGGCAGGAAGTCTCATGTGCAACGGTCCAAGAGATGTCACACATCTTCAGGCTTAGGTCTGACAAATCTTGCGCCCAGATCCACATCCCATAAGGGCCGCGCGCGTATACAAATCGTAATCCCGCGCCGAGTACTCTTTGCGCATCCTGACACTGCCATTACGTGAGCCATTTGCAGCCTGCTGCAAGCACCAACAACTTTCACCTGAAACGTGAGAGGCACCCTGAGATCGCTGCCTGTTGATCAGGTCATTGACCTGCTTCGGCTCCAGCATTGTCGGCCCCAATTGCCTGGAACGCAGCCAAACAAAATGGGGCAGCTACAAACGACTTGCTATGTCCAAGATCCCTCAAACGCTGAACGCATGCGTTCATCTCGCCGGGCTCCAGGCAAGCTGCGCTCGAAGATGTAACCTGAAGCTACCCATGGCGCATGTGCTGACTATCACTCATGAAGGCGGGACGATGTCCCGAGCCTGATTGACTGACACTCAGCAAGCATTTAATCATGAATTGAAGCGCTAGGAGAGATGAAACACTCTGATTCTTTTGATACTTTCTACGCCCGAACTTCAAAATGATGTTCCCAGAAGCCTCATAATTTTGCACGTTCCTGCCGCACAAGCCTTATTTTGACACCCCAAGTGCGTCACACATGCCATCGCGTTTCCAGCATATAAGTCCAGCGAGAGCACGGGGCTGTGTGACTCCCGTTCAAACATTAAACTGCTCGCAAACCTTCCAACCTCCAACTCACGCAATGCTACAAGGGCCTCCAGTCTCAAGCATACAACAGTCTTGCGAAACAAACAGCATAACAGCAGCCAGCCTGCAGAAACTGCTTTGGAATCCTATCCGTCACCCCGCCTCGGCACATCTTTGGCTTGCAGGGCTGTATGCCGTCCACAAACTCGTGTTGCGAAGCCTGGCGTGGCTCAGGGCATCGTAAGGCTCAAGGGTTGGCGTGCTCACTGACGACGGCGAACGAGATTGCGCTACACCATTGTTGCTACACGGGCCGTCCTGCGCAGTTTAGCCTTTACCTGGACGGGCAAGATAGTGGAGCAATTACTTTCTCGGCCCGTGCCTCTGGGACAAACATCACATGCCAGCCACACGCGGACCCAAGCGCGCCAGGCACACCTGGAAGCTATACTCCTTCCCGTAGACCTGAGGTCATCACTTTGCTCCCTTTCACTGGGTGGAGCGCTGACGCGCTGAAATTGACACACTATGTCACTCTAACCAACATACTGAAGGTATGAGGATTACCTGCCGCTTGCCTTGGATGACCTGCGAGTTGGAATGACTAGGTTGACGACTGCCCACTCTGCCCTGCCTCCACGCCAAGATGGAAGGCACCACATCCCCAAAACTCCATGGCCTGGCAACCAAGTGAAGCTGCTACCAAGCTGCAACACCTCTCGTCGGAGTTCGCCGTTTTTGGTGCCATGCACTTTGATTGCGTTTTTAATTTCAACCGGTCTATGATGGCTCCTCCAGTCAGGGATGCAGCACGAGAATCTGACATCAAGCAGCAAGGGGGTGTCTTCGCCGTTGCGCAAGCATTCTGAAGCTGCATCAAAGTCCGGGATGGACGTTTTCTCGCTCCTCATCGGGGGCCGTTTTCGCAATCCGTGTCCATTGCCCCAACTCTGTCAGCCAGAAGCGCTCAACTGCGGGACACGCCTGGTTCAGGTACTTCCACCCGGAGGGCAACTTGGCAGCGAGCGATGAGAACGTGCCAATGCAACTCTGACAAACAAAGGGAACGCCAAACTGCACAGGCAGAAGAAAGTGCTCACTTCAGGCCCTCACGTGGTAGATGTGCAGGGTGACTGTCCTGGATGTCATGGCCCGGAGAAAGCAGCCAACCCAAGCTTGTACAACCAGCGTGATCAGTCAGTGACAAGTGAGAGGGCGCTTGCAGCAAATCGGCGACATGGCCAAACCCTACGCAGCATCACGGAGTAAGCTGCCCACGGATCCATCTTCTCCATCTTCTCCATCTTCTCCTTCTCCTCCTTCTTCTCCTTCTTCTCCTTCTTCTCCTTCTTCTCCTTCTTCTCCTTCTTCTCCTTCTTCTCCTTCCGCTCCTTCTTCTGCTTCTCGTCCCTCTTGGCCTGTTCAAACAAGTCTTGCAGGTCATCTCTTCAACCAGCACAGGCAGATGTCCGATCTGAGGACAGCCTTGCAGTAATGATGAATGCCCAAGCCCAGTCACCGTGTGCTTGACTTATATTGCCTGATTGCCATGTTGTTGTGGGATATGGGAAACAAGCTACACAAGAAACATGCTGCAGTACAGTTTGAATGTTAGCACATGCTACAAAACAGAAGATGCCTGGGTCAATCGAACATTTCGAAAGAGCACAATCGAAGAAAACCCATTCCGCAAGCAAGCAAACAGTTCGACGCCCATGTCCTCTTTAGTTGACTCACAACATGACAGCATCAAAGCGCCTCTGCCTCGCCGCTTTCTTGATCTGGGGCCAACATAGGCTCAGCTGGGAAGCTTGCCTGGCGATTGAGGCATTCTGACAGAAGGCGGCGAATGAATCGTGTCAGTACCAAACTGCAGCTCAGCAGCGACTTATGTCAGTTTACCCGTGTGTGGCTACCTGCTTGGGGTGGGCTCACGGACTTCACACCGCGCCCGAGGGCAAATGAAATCGACCTCCGCCCCCCCCGAGCGAGCGCGCGCCTCGACCGCCGTGGAAGACGGCATGTTCTTTCAAATCCTACACATGCGCGAGGCTTGCCTGAGCCGACACCACATCCAAACGGAGACGACCAGTTCCTGATTCGCACTGATGCTTCCCTTGCTCTTGAGGTGGACAACCTGCACATGGCCCAGCTTTTGCATTGTCGAATTGCTGATCGCGGTCTGCGCAGTTTGATGATTGCCCACCTTCTTGAGAGGCCCGGTCTGTGTGAAGCACAGGGTCAGGATCGAGCAGATTTTCGGGGCTCAGTCTAATTGGCCTGTTTTTGGGATCCCGGCACAGCCAGCAAGTTTGTCTCCCAATCACGCGCGGCCCCGCAAGAAAGCTGTGTAGTGAGACGCAGCTTGCAAAGCACGCAGGCATCTGGATGACAGCACAAAGACATCACTGAGGCTTGCATCACTTGGACGCATTGTGCCAAAGATTGAATAGGAATCATTAATCATAAGAAGCACCCACCAGTCATTCAGGCTCCACCGCTCTTGCCCGGTCCGCCCAGCTGTCAAGTTACGGGTCAGTTTGACCCGACTCTGAGGGACGATGGCGCCAGCTGATTAAACAATCGAACCGAAGGGAGTCAACATGACAAGTCTGCACTGTCTACACTCTGCAAGCTTCGGATGCTTCTGCCGTCAGTCCAATCTAGACAGAAGCTACATCGGCTTTCTTAAAGCCACACATGGACCACAACAAAGCGGACCCACGCCGAGTCAACACCACATGACGAGAACCCATTTATGAGCCTGCTCAATATGCTCAATCCGGCAAAGCTGCGTGGGTCTCTCTCGTTTCCTAGTGCCATTAAAATGAAAACAAGTGACTCATGCCTCCAGCTGTTCAAGCCAGGCTGAATCATTGGCCCCCCTTCACAACTTCAAAGCTTGGAGTGCCTGAGCGACAGCGCAAGCCTCCACATTTCCAAACATCAAAGGCTTGAGGATCGGATTGCAAGGCATCCTCCAGACACCTGTGAGGGGAAGAGAGCTTATTCAAGCAGCAGTCAATGCGGTTCACCCATCTCCGCCCACGCCGTTTGGACTACTTTTTCAGCGAGCTGTTCAACATCGGACACATTTCATGTCATTTGTCCGGTGACAAAGCAACCTATTTCGGCAGATCTTCAGAAGGGATGAACAAATACTGGACTGAGTTGGAAGGCTTGAACCTTGAGGAGGCTTAACTCCACTTGCTTGGGCTGGATAACTAGCACGAGTGGTTGACGACTGATAGCCAAGGGTGGCAAACATGTTCACACAAACACTCGCAAATGATGGTGCAGAAAACAACATAACAAACATTGCATCATTGTGAGACTGCACAGCTTGAGCAAAACCGGATTTCTCTTTTCACTGCGCCGTACGGCAATCGTTATGGCAAGTCAGCTTGGCACTCTGAGCAACGCCGGCCGTCCTGCCTGGTCTCCAGAATCTGTATCCATAGGGCAGCAGCGCATGGCGTCTGTGATCCAGCAAGCATATCAAACAAACACCTGTGCGGCTCTCTCTCAGCTTTGTCCGTGCATCCTGCCAGGATGGAGCAATGTAAGTTTTGCCTAGGCACCCGGCTCCACAACAGCGAGAGCCTAGCAGAGTTGCCAGCTATGCTCCGGAAAGTAGGCATGTAATGTATGGTGGAGGATCGATTTACTGTCTTCTGCATGGGCTTGCGTGTCTATGGTGGCTCCAACGGCCTGTCCGTCCGAAATTTCAGCCCACGAGTTCGCGCGAGTCACACCAATCATGGTACAATGCAATCCAACCCAACTCTGCTCAAGAAACTCGGAAGCGCTGGAGATGCTCGAGCTTTTCCGCGGCTCGAATGGAAATCGCCCTCCGTGCTGCAAAGGGCGCGAGCTTGAAATCGAAGTGTATAAGTGGCCGAAAATCCATCTCTGTGCCAGGATGCAGTAGGCAATTTCAAGCTGGTCTGGTTGCGTTTCAAACATTGACAATTGATGTTGTGACAAAATTGTTGCCAAATGGTCTGCTTCAAACCAAAAACAAGGCTGGGTTGCTGAAGAGACTCAGCGCAAAAAGGCCCTGCTGCAGTGCCTGGTGTTGGATTCGGCTGGCGCATTAGGCTGTCCTCGCCCCGGCCAGAGTTCAGCCAGGGCTCGGCTTTGTCACTGCATGAGATTCGAGATACTGCTATTCCAACATGGAACACCCACAAACAAGTGATTCAACCATCTACACACACACATGTAACCCATGCTCTGCGGCCTTGTGTCGACTCAAATGGTTTCTGCTTCAAATTCAGCAGACACATCCTCGGACATAAAAAGGCAGCAGGCATCAAGCATCGTAAACTCAACTATCAAACGGTCACCTGCGGGACTAGCCGGCGCAAAATGCCTACGCATGCCTGCGCAGTTCTGACCCTGTCAGTCAAGCGCCTACGCAACATGATTGAATATATCGCCACGAAGATGTGGGTCTTCATCACTGGAAAAAAAAAGCCGCCGCATTGTCATGACGCCTTGCGTGTCCATTTTGTCTGTGGGCGCCGTCGCGCATCTGATGTGCCAGCCGTGACTAAGAACCAGACAGCATGAGACACGCAGCAGGCCTGCCCATCCGAATACAAAACAGTCAAACGCACGGCAAAAGAGTCAAGCGCAGCCCCGCAACTCTCACCGAGTTCTCGGATTTTTGCAGTGCCTGGAAGGGGGACAGCATCCACGCGCTGAGAGCCCCCAGAACGTCCTTGGCAAAATATAGTCGGACCTACAGAATGCTGAAATAGCCCAGACGCCATTGTCGGAGCTTCTTTCGTCTGTTGTACAGGGGCAACCCATAAAACGGAAATGACAAGGTCTGGATTCCAGGCACCCCGCTTTCCGGCTCTGGTCAATGGCACACACGGCTCCTCTCGGCTGGCACGCTTCCAGTTTCTCTCAGAAATACAATCGGGGCGACATGTCTCCAGTCTTGCCCTTGCTTGAGATAGCCATGGCAAGCCCTGCCTTTGGCTTTGCGTGCAGCCTCCGACAGCGCAAAGAACTCAGGCGGAACGCTGTCGACACCTGCCAAACCAGATTGCAAAACATGAACAAAGCTCAAGTCGATCAACTCAACAAGAAAAAAAAGAAACACGTCCGTGAGGGGCCCAATGGCGCCATTACAGCTCGACCAGCCTAACTCCTTGCAGAAGTGGTTGCTGAAGTGACAGCAGTTGCCTGAAATGAAAGGGCATGGTTGCCACATCTGTGGCTCCCAGGCTGCAGATTTGGCCCACGGTTAACTTCAATGGCTGAAACAAATGCCAATCTGGCCCTGCAGGAAAGCATGGGAAAGTATTTATTGCCCAAACATCCTATCCATTCCAAACCGCAACAACGGGAGCTAACGGCAGGAAGTCTCATGTGCGACGGTCCAAGAGATGTCAAGCATCTTAAGGCTTAGGTCTGACAAATCTTGGGCCCAGATTCGCATCTCATAAGGGCCGCGCGCGTATACAAATCGTAATCCCGCGCCGAGTACTCTTTGCGCATCCTGACACTGCCATTACGTGAGCCATTTGCAGCCTGCTGCAAGCACCAACAACTTTCACCTGAAACGTGAGAGGCACCCTGAGATCGCTGCCTGTTGATCAGGTCATTGACCTGCTTCGGCTCCAGCATTGTCGGCCCCAATTGCCTGGAACGCAGCCAAACAAAATGGGGCAGCTACAAACGACTTGCTATGTCCAAGATCCCTCAAACGCTGAACGCATGCGTTCATCTCGCCGGGCTCCAGGCAAGCTGCGCTCGAAGATGTAACCTGAAGCTACCCATGGCGCATGTGCTGACTATCACTCATGAAGGCGGGACGATGTCCCGAGCCTGATTGACTGACACTCAGCAAGCATTTAATCATGAATTGAAGCACTAGGAGAGATGAAACACTCTGCTTGATTCTTTTGATACTTTCTACGCCCGAACTTCAAAATGATGTTCCCAGAAGCCTCATAAGTTTGCACGTTCCTGCCGCACAAGCCTTATTTTGACACCCCAAGTGCGTCACACATGCCATCGCGTTTCCAGCATGTAAGTCCAGCGAGAGCACGGGGCTGTGTGACTCCCATTCGAACATTAAACTGCTCGCAAACCTTCCAACCTCCAACTCACGCAATGCTACAAGGTCCTCCAGTCTCAAGCATACAACAGTCTTGCGAAACAAACAGCATAACAGCAGCCAGCCTGCAGAAACTGCTTTGGAATCCTATCCGTCACCCCGCCTCGGCACATCTTTGGCTTGCAGGGCTGTATGCCGTCCACAAACTCGTGTTGCGAAGCCTGGCGTGGCTCAGGGCATCGTAAGGCTCAAGGGTTGGCGTGCTCACTGACGACGGCGAACGAGATTGCGCTACACCATTGTTGCTACACGGGCCGTCCTGCGCAGTTTAGCCTTTACCTGGACGGGCAAGATAGTGGAGCAATTACTTTCTCGGCCCGCGCCTCTGGGACAAACATCACATGCCAGCCACACGCGGACCCAAGCGCGCCAGGCACACCTGGAAGCTATACTCCTTCCCGTAGACCTGAGGTCATCACTTTGCTCCCTTTCACTGGGTGGAGCGCTGGCGCGCTGAAATTGTCACACTATGTCACACTAACCAACATACTGAAGGTATGAGGATTACCTGCCGCTTGCCTTGGATGACCTGCGAGTTGGAATGACTAGGTTGACGACTGCCCACTCTGCCCTGCCTCCACGCCAAGATGGAAGGCACCACATCCCCAAAACTCCATGGCCTGGCAACCAAGTGAAGCTGCTACCAAGCTGCAACACCTCTCGTCGGAGTTCGCCGTTTTTGGTGCCATGCACTTTGATTGCGTTTTTAATTTCAACCGGTCTATGATGGCTCCTCCAGTCAGGGATGCAGCACGAGAATCTGACATCAAGCAGCAAGGGGGTGTCTTCGCCGTTGCGCAAGCATTCTGAAGCTGCATCAAAGTCCGGGATGGACGTTTTCTCGCTCCTCATCGGGGGCCGTTTTCGCAATCCGTGTCCATTGCCCCAACTCTGTCAGCCAGAAGCGCTCAAAATGCGGGACACGCCTGGTTCAGGTACTTCCACCCGGAGGGCAACTTGGCAGCGAGCGATGAGAACGTGCCAATGCAACTCTGACAAACAAAGGGAACGCCAAACTGCACAGGCAGAAGAAAGTGCTCACTTCAGGCCCTCACGTGGTAGATGTGCAGGGTGACTGTCCTGGATGTCATGGCCCGGAGAAAGCAGCCAACCCAAGCTTGTACAACCAGCGTGATCAGTCAGTGACAAGTGAGAGGGCGCTTGCAGCAAATCGGCGACATGGCCAAACCCTACGCAGCATCACGGAGTAAGCTGCCCACGGATCCATCTTCTCCATCTTCTCCTTCTCCTCCTTCTTCTCCTTCTTCTCCTTCTTCTCCTTCTTCTCCTTCTTCTCCTTCTTCTCCTTCTTCTCCTTCCGCTCCTTCTTCTGCTTCTCGTCCCTCTTGGCCTGTTCAAACAAGTCTTGCAGGTCATCTCTTCAACCAGCACAGGCAGATGTCCGATCTGAGGACAGCCTTGCAGTAATGATGAATGCCCAAGCCCAGTCACCGTGTGCTTGACTTATATTGCCTGATTGCCATGTTGTTGTGGGATATGGGAAACAAGCTACACAAGAAACATGCTGCAGTACAGTTTGAATGTTAGCACATGCTACAAAACAGAAGATGCCTGGGTCAATCGAACATTTCGAAAGAGCACAATCGAAGAAAACCCATTCCGCAAGCAAGCAAACAGTTCGACGCCCATGTCCTCTTTAGTTGACTCACAACATGACAGCATCAAAGCGCCTCTGCCTCGCCGCTTTCTTGATCTGGGGCCAACATAGGCTCAGCTGGGAAGCTTGCCTGGCGATTGAGGCATTCTGACAGAAGGCGGCGAATGAATCGTGTCAGTACCAAACTGCAGCTCAGCAGCGACTTATGTCAGTTTACCCGAGTCTGTTGCTATCCCGCAAGCGCGCGCCTCAACCGCAGTGGAAGACGGCATGTTCTTTCAAATTCTACACACCGCGAGGCTTGCCTGAGCCGACACCACATCCAAACGGAGACGAACTAGTTCCCGATTCGCGCTGATGCTTCCCTTGCTCTTGAGGACAGCCTGCACATGGCCCAGTTTTTGCATTGTCGAATTGCTGATCGCGGTCTGCGCAGTTTGATGAGTGGCCACCCTCTCGAGGCCCAGTCTGTGTGAAGCACAGGGTCGGGAGCGTGCTGATTTCGGGGCTCAGTCTAATTGGCCTGTTTCTGGAATCCCGGCACAGCCAGCAAGTTTGTCTCCCAACCACGCGCCGCCCCGCAAGAAAGCTGTGTAGTGAGACGCAGCTTGCAGAGCACGCAGGCATCTGGATGACAGCACAACAAACATCACTGACGCTTGCATCACTTGGACGCATTCTGCCAACGATTGAAGAGGAATCATGAATCATAAGAAGCACCAGTCATTCAGGCTCCGCCGCTCTTGCCCGGTCCGCCCAGCTTGAGGGACGATGGCGCCAGCTGATTAAACAATCGAACCGATGGGAGTCGACATGCGGCCAAAAGTCTGCACTGTCTACACTCTGCAAGCTTCGGATGCTTCGGCCGTCAGTCCAGTCTAGACAGAAGCTACAAGCGCTCAATCGGCTTTCTTAAAGCCACACATGGACCACAACAAAGCGGACCCACGCCGAGCCAACACCACATTTGACGAGAACCCATTTGCGAACGTCGATTTGGATCCCTGACATGCTGGCTAAGCAAAAAGACTGCTCAATATGCTCAATCCAGCAAGCCTGCGTGGGTCTCTCTCGCTTCCTAGTGCCATTAAAATGAAAACAAGTGACTCATGCCTCCAGCTGTTCAAGCTAGGCTGAATCATTGACCCCCCTTTACAACTTCAAAGCTTGGAGTGCCGCAGCGACAGCGCAAGCCCTCAGACCGCAACGTGCGCGTTCGGGCTCTCAGAGTTCTCGAAGGATGCTTGTCAAGGACCGCTTCTCTTCAGCAGCGGTCCTGGGCAAGAAGGTGAACCAAAAGCCAACATCTCATGCCAGCTAGCTGTGAACCGATCATGATCTCAAAAGGTGCGGTGGGCAAAATCATAGGACTGGTGAGCGGCCCTACACATCACCTTTGGCAAGTAGCCCGGTTGCACTTCTGGGCTCTGCTTTTCGGGAAGCTCAATCTAGCCTGAGTCTGGCATGTTGGTGATGCTCAAATTGGTAGCAGGCCTGAATGCTGGCCTAGCGCTTCGTGGCTGAAAATATCTGTGGCAATGCTGTCAACTGCTCACCGCACAAATATGGCCGCTGAAGACTTTCATGCACATTAGCCTTCCTGTTCATGAAAAAGGTAGAGTGCCTTATTCGCAGGCAGCTCTGTATTTGAAATACATAGCAGGCATTTGATTGTGACAGCAGTGGACACTTGGCCGCATTGTTGAGTGTTGACCTTTATTGTCTTCATGCGCAACACATATTTCGAGACCTCCGGCAAGTCACAAATTGAAACACATTGTCCGAATGCAACTTCGACTGCGACTGAGCATGACGACATGACAATCCTTTGCAAGGCGTCCAGGAACTCTCTGGTCAACCGAAGGGAGTCGCGCGCCTTCCGGGTTTGCAACAATGTGTAAAAATCGGCACGAGCACAGATCGCCACCTGTAAATTCAGGCCGTCTATCAGCTTTCCGATGAGGACATGTTGCAAAATGGAAGCTGCCAGGATTCGGCATGCAAATCTAAATGGGGAGTGCATGAGCATGACAGCAACACTTCTATAGTCACGTGCTCCTCTCTCATACAAAATACGCGCCTGCTCGACATCCGCACAATCTGCAACCTGGCAGGCACAACTCCTGAATCGACTGTGATGCTCCACCTCCACAAACACTCCATCTACTCTTTACCAGGCTAGCATTGTCATCTGGTTTCAACATAACATGGGTATGGAAGGGTCAGCACGCTTCGGGGCACTCAATTGGACTGTCTTTGAAGACCTGCACCCCCGCCTTGACGCGAACCAACCGCCTCAGCACCACGGCTTGCCGCACGAGTTCCTGGAAGACAGCATTGCTTGATACGGTCCCCATGCCTCACCGAGAAAGCCCGGAGTAGGAGGTGGGCAGTGCAGCAAGTCCACATGGCAGCAGCAGCAACAGCAGCAGCAGCAGCAAAAGCACCGGCATTTGCTGCTGCCGCCGCAGCCCGTCTCTTCTGCAAGCGAGGTTCAGTTTGTTCTGCAATGAGGCATGCGTTGTGTATTGAAACATTTGAGCCGTCGCCAACATCCTTGTGAAACACTGGACCATTTCTACCGGCGTCGTCTTAAGCGGTCGCTATAATCTAGCTTGTACGTCTTTTCTTACCAAGATGACTTGCCAGCTTGGGTCTTGAAAGCAAGCATTGTTCGACTCAAGCCTACAGCTTCGGTTGACTCTCATCTATCCGATGCTCACAAAACCAAGTTGTCGCAAAACAAGGTTTCGTTTTAGGCTTTGTCCTCGTGTCAAGGCCTGCTCACACCCTGCAAAAGTCGCCCAACATGCGCACAAAGAGAAACCTTCGCTTTCAAAGCTTGGCTTCCTTGTTCGGGGCTTTCCACCTTATTTTACTTCAGTACACATAATATGTACATGTCCGTTATTTACAAACCTTTTGAGTGGTAGCTCATGTTCATGCAGGCAGTCAAGGCTGGGCGGGCTGTCCTGCCGCTCTTGGTTGGTCATTAGACCGTCCAGCTCAGCGCTCCTGAAGTGCAGTCATTTGGGTTTGCCTGATGCGACAACCGGCAAACGTTTACCAATGACATGCTCATGTACATTGAAATATATGGGATTGTCTCAAGGCGAGGAACTCCTCGGAATGGTTGGTTCCTTTGCGTTTCCCGGTAGAATCACTGTAGAACAAACCAAAGGCAGGAGATGGCGGGAGCTTCCCAAAAAATGACACGCTGTATATATACATATACATACACATTATGTAATCAGCGGTCGATTTCTGGTTGCTCAAGCGATCTCAATTGCTTGATGCCTCCGTACGATGGCCAAGGACAGCCGCCACCAAAGCGGCCCCTTTGTGCGAACAACACCTCAACTCTTGGGAGTCCTTCATGTTTTACTCAAGGTCTGTACATGACATGCATGCGGCAGGCACACTTTCAGGGAGCGCTCTGGTATTCTGCTCTGTAAGTGCTCTTTCAAAAATCATGCACTGGCTGCAACTTGGCTGACCAACACCCTTCACAACCTAGTTTAGACCTCCAGGGTAAACAATTCAAACACGGGGTCGACTCCTTATCACTCCAACATGTTTGCTCTTGCACGGAGCGTGTGCCGCTTTTCACAAGCCTTGGCGAACGTTTTGCGAGGCTGCTAACAACAAGTTCCTCGAAGACAGGTATGTTAACAAGGATGGAAGGCCATGAGCTAATATCTCTGGCACCAGTAGCTTCACTCTGAGGTTCCCTGCCCCAGCGGTACCTCCAATGCACTGTTGGCCTGTGCCAAATGGTGCGCTTCAAAGCTTGACTCAACGGCTTGACCTGAATCCACACCTCCAAATGTAAAAGGCTTGAGGATCGGATTGCAATGCATCCTCCTAGACACAACCTGTTGGGGAAGCGAGCTGTCGGGGAAGCGAGCTTCTCCGCCCACGCCTTTTGGACTACTTTTTCAGCACGCAGTTCAACATCGGGCACATTTCATGTCACTTAAGACTTTTCACCGGACAACAGCCAACTCCGGCAAACCTTGATAGGTGCTTGGTCTACAAAGGCTGGCCAGTTACTAGACTGAGCTGGAAGGCTTGAACCTTTAGGAGGCTTAAGTCCATTTGCTTGGGCTGGATGACTAGCACGAGTGGTTGACGACTGATAGCCAACGGCGCCAAACATGTTCAAAAAGCAGCATAACAAACATTGCATCATTGTGAGACTGCGCTGCTTGAGCAAAACAGGATGGCTCTTTACCATGCGCCAAACAGTAATCATCATGACACGTCATCTTGGCCCTGTGAGCAACCCCGGCCATCCCGCCTGGTCTCCAGAATCTGTATCCATGTTGAAGGGCAGCAGCAGTCTAGACAAAGCTCCTGCTTGCACGAAGCAAATCAAACAAACACCTGTGCGGCCCTCTCAGATATCTTGATCCGCCAGACATCCTGCCAAAATATAGCAGACTATAAGTTTTGAAACCCGCATGACCAGGAAAATAACAACAACATACAACTGCTTTAGGAATTTTCCCCCATGGCATTATTCAGTCCAGGGGGATATCCTTTGAACATTTCAACATTTCTGGAGGTGTGTGGCGTTATTTTCGTTTTGATGCACCGGGCAACCAAAGACAAAGGTACTTGGACTTAGCTACTTTTGGCAGCTCCGCAAAGATTCCAAAGGGTTTGGCAGAATGTAGATCATCGGGGGGCGGACACGGCCCAAGGAACTCCGTATCTAAACGGCTCCCGTGGTTCAGACCCCTTCGGGCCCCGAATCTCTGGACATTCGGGCCACGAAAAGGCACGGAAGTAATGCCTACGTTGCTGCCTAAAGAACTCTTGTGGGCTTGTGCTGCAAGACTTACGGCATGGACCTGAGTATCCATGCAGGCGCGCGTCTCCTTTGCGCATGCTGAGCTTTGCCGAGTAGTCCTAGTGCAGTTGCATGCAGTTGCCAACTTTCAAACTCAAGCACGTGCGCATAGGGGGCTGCAACATCTTTTCTCTGCATCATGCGGAAGCTTGTGAGTTTTGTCAAACATGGAAGCAAAGCAAGTTGGCTCCACACAGCCAAAGTCAAAGACACTGAGAGTCCTCCAAGGTGCTGAGAAACTCCAGAGACTTTGCGGTGCTCTTGGCCGTGGCTATGATGGCTGCGTCATCTGCCAGGGCCTTCATGGCAGTCCGTGAGTGTGGCAATGCGACCATTTGCCCAAACCCAAAGCTCCTCAAAATCCAACTTTCACAAAGACTGCAATATCCCGACATTGACCTGGTCTGCTATGGTCTGACATCAGGGGCCCAGGGATGATGGGCAACTTCCCAGGTGAC